GGTACTGGACACTCGGTCTGAGAAGAGGTTCCTGGTGCTGATACTATAGATGTCCAGGGAGACAGGTCAGGGGTCATCCTGAGGGGATCTGGATGGCAGAGGGGAGGTATAGCCCTCTCCTTACAGACTGTCGCCTGAACAAAGGTCCTCACCCTGCAGAGGTCAGAGTCCTCCTCTGGTGACCTTTACAGAGATCACTGTGGCCTGTGATTGGCTGACATCTCTGAGGAAGGAGCCCACTCTCAGTCAGTCACCTCCTCTCTTTCTCCACAGAGCGAGTGGGAAAGCCCTCCATCCGAGCCAGCAATGCCACAGTCACAGAGGATAAGGACACGGTGGTCCTGACCTGCCTCACATATGACAGGGGGATCTCCATTCGGTGGCTCTTCAAGAACCAGAATCTCCTGCTCACGGACAGGATGAAGCTGTCCCAGGGCAACAGCACCCTCACCATAGACCCCGTCAGGAGGGAGGACGATGGGGATTATCAGTGTGAGGTCTTCAACCTGGCCAGTTCCGACATAAGTGAGCCCCTCAGGCTGCATGTGCAATGTAAGTGACCCCGTGCCCCATTCTACATCTTCCTGGGAGGATTGCTCTACCAATGGTGTGATAAATGGACAGAAGTCACAGGGGGCAGTGTCAATCAGGAGACATTACAGTAAACTGAATGGCAAAGTGGTTAAGAGCTCAGTTTCTGACCCTGGGTCTGGCATTCACTGTGACCTTGCACAGGGCTGTGTGGTGGGTTTAAGTTTACAGCTCAGTGGCATTAAGTACATTCACATTGTTGTGCCATCATTACCACTATCCATTAGGAACTTTTTCATCTTACCACACTAAAACTCTGTACACATTAAACAATAGCTCCCCACCCCCCAACCCTAATCCTGGAAACCACCATTCTACTTCTCTCTCTATGAATGTGACTATTCTAGGTACTTCATATAAGTGGAATCATATGATATTTGTCCTTTTGTGTCTGGCTATTTTCATTTAGCATAATGTCTTCAAGTTTCATCCATGTTGTAGCATATATCACAATTTCATTGCTTTTTAAGGCTGAATAATATTCCATTGCATGTATCCATCACATTCATCATTCATCCATCCATGAGCTTCTAGGTTGTTTCTACCTTTTGCCTGTTGTGAATAATGCTTCTAAGAACAAGGGTGTACAAATCCCTACTTTCTTTTTTTTAAAATTTTTTTTAATTCTTTATTGTTCAGATTATTACAGTTGTTCCTCCCCCTCCCCCACCCCATAGCTCCCCTCCACCGGGTTCCCACAATTCCCTCTGCCTTTATTCCCCTCCACTGTCCTCATCCATAGGTATACAATTTTTTTAAATATATTTTATTGATTTTTTACAGAGAGGAAGGGAGAGGGATAGAGAGTTAGAAACATCGATGAGAGAGAAGCATCGATCAGCTGCCTCTTGCACATTCCCTACTGGGGATGTGCCTGCAACCAAGGTACATGCCCTTGACCGGAATCGAACCTGGGACCCTTCAGTCCCCAGGCTGACGCTCTATCCAGTGAGCCAAACCAGCTAGGGCAGGTATACAATTTTTGTCCAGTCTCTTCGCACACCCCCAACACCCCTTTCCCCCTGAGAATTGTCAGTCCACTCCCTTTCTATGCCCCTGATTCTATTATATTCACCAGTTTATTCTTTTCATCAGATTACTTATTCACTTGATTTTTTTAAAATATATTTTATTGATTTGTATTTGTTGTTCATAATTTGTATCTTTACCTTTTTCTTCTTTTTTCTCTTCTTAAAGGATACCTTTCAGCATCTTATCTGATAAAAGAGAAACATGGTAATTGGCGTAGGACCGCTACCCTTCCCGTTGGCTAATCAGGGCCATATGCAAATTAACTGCCAACTAAGATGGCGGCTAATTTGCATACTGAAGGCAGGGTAGGACAGCACAAGCCGCCATCCAGGCCCCTATGTGCCACGGGGTGGGGGGGCGGGTTGGGGCTAAGGCAAGCAGTGCTGATCGCTTCAGCAGAGCCCTCCCCCGCCCACCGGAGACTCGGGCCCACTCCCC